GCATTGGGTGGATTAGACGATGGTCCGGAGGGATGATAATTACGGGGGTGGGGACCGAGGGGTAATTGAAGCATGGAGAAGATAGAAAAACGGTCATTTGAGCGAAAGATGACGCTTTTTCGCCGTTGTCGGCAGCGTGCTTTGATTTTGATAGATTGCGGCTCTGTTACTCGTGTTGACGACTCACTTTCTCTCTGGAAGTCATGCAATAATGGTATGGGAATTGTACATGCTTTTGATTTTTTAACCTTCTTCTAATTCACTTTTTTTTTTCCCTTCTGTTTTTATTTTTGCGGGGTTGCGGGGTTTTTTCTTCATTTTCTGTTTATTCGTCTCTCTAAACGGGGTTTTTTTCCTCTTGTTATTGCTTGTTCCTATTTCGTGTTAGGGGATTTTCCATAAAGGCTGTATAATATACCGTTCAAAGCTACCAGAGTTTTTTTCATCTGAAAAAATGATTGTGTCGCGTTTGTTTGTTCGCGCCGTGATTATCTTATTTTGTTTTTTTTTTCCCTGGCGGACGTTGGAAATCATCCCCCCTGCCCCCTGATCTATTAAAATCCGCCCCCATGTCGATTAAGATTACCTTGATATAGGCTCCAACCAACCTCGGAGAACAACCCCTAGCACCGCGAAGGCAAAAGATCCGAGGGATACGGTACTGTGCTAGTACCTAGGGGGTTGACAAAAGTCGGGCGCACTTCTGAAAGGAGAAGAGGCGATTTCTCGAGTAACTCGCTGGGAAACAGGATTCGTGTAACCGCGCCCGAAATACCCTCACCCCCGAGTACTGTAAGCAGCGGGCGATTGTTATGATACTCACTCCCTTCATTCAACGGGAGCCAAAGTCACCACAGCGCGAGTTACCGGTAATTGCACTCTTCCCCAGCCCGGATCCCAAATACAAGTACCACCGCATACAGCACTGTAAACAAGCTAGGCACGTGCCATCACCGGCCGAAATTCCGGGTGTCATGTAAACAGCCCTCCCTCCCTCTCCACCTTCACCGTTATATGATGGCGCTGTGACCGTGGACGCTTGCTTGAGCGATCCATCGGATCATTCCTGACTGGGGGTTACCGGTAACTTGTTCACTTCCCCCCCCTAACGCGGTGAAGCAAGGAGACTGAGAGTCTAGGTAACTTGCCCCTATACTCGAGTATCACACAAAGGCACAGCACCACCAACTAGCATCCCTTATGATTCGCTACCAGATCACCAGCGGATATCGCCACACAAGCCGACGATAACTGTACCGCAGGCTTATTCCGGCGTGTTGCTTGTAACAGAATTGCTAAAAGCCAGCTAATGAGATTAAACAGGCCCGGGGACTCACGTCTACACCACGTCGGTCGGTTGGTAAAGAGAGAAGCCCACCAACTAACAAACACTTCCCGGGGGAGGGGGGGGGGGTTTGTCTCCGGATACCGTAGGGAGGTTAACTCGGAAACCCTGTCAAAATAGTGGATCGCAGCGATTCATGGTATTACAAAGTACCGGTAGAGATGTTTTTCGTACAAGTGCAAGCCAGAACAGGGATTATTTAACTGGTTTACTACTGCACTGAGTACGGAAACGTCTTCCCCTGGCACTTGTGCGGGCATGGTGCAGTACAGTACTCAGGTACTCGGGTATTTCAGGCCCGGTAACACAGAGCTTCCCCCCCCTCCAGTCAACAAAACCCCTTTTATCATGCTGGCGAACCCATCACAACATATCATCTCTGTTCTACACACCTGCATGAATTAAAGGGAAAAAAAGTTATGTAGTAAAAGAGAATTTGTGAGCAAATTTTGGAGAGTGTTTGCCACTATAAAACTACTTAAGATGAATACATTAAAGTTATAACTCTCTGAGATGAAGCTGGATGGACCTGGTCTAGAATTGATTAACATCTGAATATTTTTTTAATAAATATAACTGAAGGTATTAAGTAAGGAGTTCCATTATGATTAAATAAAACCTCTGAGTTTGAATACAAAATCCAGATAGTATTATTATAATAGCCGGTTCCCCTCCTATTTCACTTCGCTTATAGTTAGCAGAAGCAAGTGTGATATAGAAGGAAGTATGATATGACATTTTTTTTTAGAGTAATAGTTCATAATACTATAGAATAAATTTTTTTTTTAACCTATTGTATATAATATCGACACTAGTTATCAATGATATTTTTAAAAATTTAATAATAGAAGAAGAAAAAATCCTATTTGCACAAAATAATAAATAACTTAAACTTATATTGTTTTAATTAAAGTACACAAAATTAGCATTTTTGTAATAGAATTTAATAATGTACAGTATATGATAAGCCAGAATCTTATCTACCAGACAAATACTGATTCCTACACCCACCCTCTGATTCTCCTAGTATTGTATATCTATTTTTATTTTATTACCTAATAGGATCAATTTCCAATTAGAAAGAATCAAGCAGTTTGAAGAAACTAGATTTAATAACTAGTATTATACATACTGGTAGTAGTTTAGTTTTTTTATTATTCTATGATATCATGAACTATTATGCTAAAAAAAAAAAATCCTATCACACTTGCTTCTACTGACTATGAGTAAAGTGAAATAAGAGAGAAACTGGATATTAGATTGGTTTCTGTAGTACTACAAGATCTAAGTTATTGTAATGTTCTCTACCTGTCAGTATGCTCTCAATATGAGTCACAATACCTGAGTCTTGATTGTATGAGACTTTGCTTCTTTTTCTGAGTCAGATAGCTAAGCACTTGAGGCTTCCATCTTATGACTTACTCATGATAGTATGTATGCAATATTAGTACATACTTGAAGCGTAGAGTAATAAAGTTATAGGTAAACAGATACAAAAATGATAGCATAAAAAACTCATCCTTCTAGGTTCTAGTGACCCTTTTTATACTTGCTCTTCATGCCAGCTTTAACCCTGTAACTTATACCCACAAGTCACCTGCAAAAATCATATGTACCAACTGCATTACATACATGAAATCCATTACTCACTATTCAAGTTATGTGCAAAAATCATAATATTATGTAACTTACAACTATGAGCCACTCAAGTACATCAACCAATCAAAATATATCAATAACTCACAGCTGTGAGTCATGCAAGACCCCTTGACCCCAAGGTACATTATGGTGCAAAAGCCTAACTATTTTGCCTTACTGGTAAGACTAACTAAAACCTTTCTCCATACTGTTTTGAGTCTTCTATGATGTAACCAATCTTCTACCCCCATTACTGTTTGTAATAGTTATCTTTATTCCTCCAAAGACAAAAGTTGACTCTATCTTATACTAGTATATCAAAATATTTATATATTTATATCTTGTACCTTTCTGATATCCTCATTGTAGATACTATGATTGGATAACTGCAGTAGAGGATAGTATATCAGATTATAAGAGTAGTTCAATTTAGTACCAGAATCCCAATGAAATAGAAACTATACAGTGGCTCATCCAACTTCCGAATCTAAATTTGATAAAGACATTATAGCTCAATAATATAGAAAATACACTGGGGGAAACTTGGAATAGAATTGGTAATATTTAGACTCTAGAAACTATGCTTAATGCTCTTTGAAATACAATTCCAACCGAAATTTCAACTTAAAAAATTAATTAGAAGTATACCACAGTATCTACAAATTATTACCGTAAAATCTCGTGAAATCCACTACCTCCGGCGGCCCCCCCAAAGAAGGATCAGCCTTTTCCTAATATAGTATAAGATCGGCCGGCTGGATGTGTTAGATCTCGCCAACTGGTATTCGCAATTCTGTTAACCTACCAAACTAAACCTATAGTGGGGTGACGGATGGCCGGAGGCAGTGGATTTCACGAGATTATACGGTATTGATACTAAAGGAGGACCTACAGACTATTGATTTCTTGTTCTTGATTATAATACACTTTGTATATACACTTCTTTATCTTACCAATCATGCCCATCACATACTACTTGCGGAACTCCTCGTTTTAGAAGTCGTATGATATGATAGCACCAAACTTTTCACCATCACAAAATAATATTTACAAGAGATCACTCAAACTTCCTAATCTAGTTTAGTCTCCATACAATTGCCACATCTCCTTTTAAAAGGGGTCCCAATTTCTGTCAACCCACTAGTACGTACACAACACCTGTGCACTGCACAACGATACATGCCGGTTCTCTACTAGTAAATTTATAAAAACCGGGCCTCCCGAGAGCCCGGCCCGTCGGCGGGAACGTCACACACACAGGTATGATACCAAAGTGTAAGTAAGCAAGTAACTTAAACCTTGGTTAGATTCCTCGGTATTCATCATTAGCGGACGGATAGACGGCCACTGAACGACGCGCAGAGCGGTTCACTAAGCATCACTCGTTGGAGCTTCCGTTCCATTGAAATTCCACCGTACAGAACTGCAGAGTATGCTACTCACACCGCTTTGTCTGTCGGGGGAGGGGCTCTCGGTACCGTAGTTGGTCGGGCTGGTCCTCCTCTACCGGCACTTTTTTTGTCCTGGGGTGGGTAAACAGTACTTGTGCGATATGATATCGTGAGAGTATTCGTCGACACACGGTACTGGTACTGTACTGTACGGTGCAGTGATAATTTACCTGCTATGGGCCGGCTGACTGGGTGTCAAGTGTGCTCAATAGCAACCGAAGGCTCTACGGAATGGGGACAGTACAGTAAGGGTGTTTGCGCGAGCGATGTCATCCGGACGCTCACTGTATAACTCGAGTAATACGAGCGATGGCAGAACTGTATTGCGGTGGCTTGCGGTACGCCTATTGGAGAATTATTATACTGTACGAGTACTGTACTGTACTCGAGTACCGTTATCCACATTACCTGGCCGGTTGGGACTAACCCGATCCAACCCAACTCGGACCCCGGTAGGGAGGGTGCTGATTCCACAAAGGTATCATATCACGGAGGGGTGGACGAAGGGGGAAAAAAAAAATTACCACCGCACGCTATGATTATGAAAAGAAACAACGAAAATGGAACGGCATCAACAAGATTCGAACTTGCACACCCGAAAGTAAGAGATGCGTAATCTCTTATCTTAACCACTCGGCCACAATATCATAATGGTTTCGGGTCACTTTGACATTCTTGAGCCAATTTGGTATATCTACGACTGTGGCAGGGGAAAAAAGGAAAAAAAGTGCGTGATCGAACAGGTGGTTTCATGAGGGCTTCGCAATTCATTCATTTGGTAAAAGGTTTGGTCATATCTGCTTCCCCCTGCGCTGACTCCACCATTTCCCCCGTCTCCTCGAGAAGCACTTCTCCCTCCGGCGCAAATGTAGATCGTATGCATTGTGCAGTCTGATATCGAGCTGTGTAGTTCATGCTGGCGGAGGGGCTACTACCCCCTTTACTTTCGCCCCCACCTCCTCGTAGGTCGAATTCTTCCTATCCCTAGCCAGGTGTTTTCTTACTTCGACCCCTTTGGGCTGGATGGGTTCTCTTGACCCGCTCCATTCCTGTTCTGGCAAGCTGTCCTTTTCGCGAGATAGTCGTTTCGGGCCTTTTGGCGGCTTGTTTTCCAGATCTGCGGTGCTGGTTCGTAGTTGGCGTCGTGTTGGCAGATCGCCTCTTCCGTTGTGCTCTCGGGCCTAGTGCCGAATGTTAGATGGGATCCGACAAATGGAGAGAGGGTGTATTGGTACCCCGCGGCTTCCTCATGCTTTCATGAGCCTTTGGTAGCGTCTCTCCAAAGGCCATTTCATTCGGAAGGCCAAAAGTTGGGCAGCGGTAGACAGAGTGGTGTTGTTCTTGAGGACCTCGTCTACGTTTAAAAGAGTTGCTTTTAAAACATTCCTATTGGGCAAACCGGTCAGCTGTTATCCCGTGCAGACTCTGGTGGGTCTCTCTCACCTGTCCAAACTTTTTTGTTCACGCCTTGGAACTTCAGTTCGGGGCGGCGAGCCGGTTCAGAGTTGCGATTAGGCGGATGTGTGGCACTCCACAGGCGAAGAGTCGTACTTATATACAATCCACTCCTTCCTAGTTACCCCATTAAGCCGTTTGAAACTACCGGTACCCCGCTGCGCAGGGGCTCTTATCGAGTGAGGGAGGAAGCGGGGTAGCGATAAGACGGCGGGTGGTCCTTTGTGTGACCGGGAAGCCCACAACATCCTGGGTTTTTTTTACCCTGCACTTGAAGCGGATTAATTAAAAACCCTCTCATTCTACCATGTGCAAATCTAGAAGTGGGCCCGGGTTTTTATCCGGCGGTCATACAGTATCCCGATGATTCTTCCTTGGCTCTGGGGATTCGTACTCTGCAGCCTTTGTTTTCGATCTTGGTGGGATGAGATGATCTTTCCCCGGGGTGGGGCAATAGGTTTCCACTCGAATCAACTCTTATCAACGCCATGATAAAAATAAGTTAAAATATATGAGCGGTGAGGGATTTTGCAAAAAAAGGCAGAATGAAATAGATTGAGTGGCTGCATTCTGGGCACCCGTACACCCCACAGTCCGTTGGTGGTATAATCCCCTTGCTGCAGTAGGATAATGGCTATGACGTCTTTCTAGAACCGTGAGTTCGAGAAATCGAGGGATTGGGATCGGGAACGGGCGGCTAGTAGCATGTCATGATCCAGATTCTGGTAGCGGGAAAACATGCGGATATACCCGTATTGTATTAGGAAGGTTGACCTGCGAATCCCGGTGCATCACGCTTCCATTGGACGCTCGTTTGAGGTTTCCGTGGGTCATGGCGGATACGGGGTCATGTGGGTTGGATGCGGATTGCGGCCCCGAGTCCATAGGGTGAGCGTGGGGGATGGCTTTTCTTATCAGTCTTGTGGCTTTTGGTATGGTGCCGGTAGCTCGATTTCACCCTGTTTGCTGTGGTTTGTCGAGAGTCGATATGCGGTTTTGGCGAATCATAGCAGGAATAGCGGTACTTCGTTTGTGGCCTGAGGCTTGATCCTGCAGACCAGGTTATGGGCCGTAAGGTAGACTTATTGTGAGGAGGAATTGGGGAGCTTTTCAACGAAAGTGACCCACCGTAGCACAGCTGTAGGAGTTGCAAATGACAAGAGGGGGGAACTTCGCTGTACGGTGGCCTAACTCCGCAATATCTACCCGCTCGACATTGTGAAGAGTGGATCGGGAGATGTTCAGTGAGGTGGATTTAACAAATAACCACCATCAATACGTTCCCCATTGAGGCACTAACCATATCCAGCAACGCGTAGCAAGGCCCAGCGGGGTGCTCGAGTATATCAAAACACGCAAACAAGGGTGCTCTCACACTCAGGTGAATAATTCCTGGGTGGGTGATGCGAAGTTAACGACCGCCGGCGGCAACAACATATTAATCTTCAACACCGCACTACCGTGCTTTATGGCTGATACGGTCTCCGTGGGGCACTCGCACCGAATACCAACCTTAGTGATTTACGTATACCCAGTGACAGAAACCGTGGTATCACCATCGGGTGGGGCGCAATTAGAATAGACTTGGCCGAACGATCGATGCGGGTAGTTCGTGGGCGGTGAGCACGATTCAATTGGACGTAGAGCAGATAAAACGAGGAATATGACCTATATTTTTTTACCATTCGGAAACTCACTAACCTACCAAAGCGGTGCAGCAGCCAAGATATTGCGCACGATTTGCGCAGCGGAATACCGGTACAGGCTCTCTGCCTATAGGCAGGAGTCCAGGGGAAGGGAAAAACGGAGGGGTTGTTCGCCAGTATATCACGAGGTCTCGGGGTTGCCGGAACGCCATTTCTGCCGGAATTACCCAGGGGCCATCGACTCGAGCACTCTAAAACTTGTTCCCTTGGTTGAAACTTTTTGGATCCCGTGGTGGAGTGAGGGGGCGAGGGTGATCATAAGGGGTCACTCGGGAGGAGTGAAAAACCGACGGGTTCGCCATCTCCTTCCGAGATCGGGATTAAGGATTGGATCTTTCATATAGGTGAGGGACAATGTGTCCTTTGGGTCAAGGGTGTGTTACTGCAGCGGCGAAGAGTATGGGAATGGTAGAACGCTGCCCGAACCCGACCGGGGGGGATTGGTAATTGACAGTGCTTGATCCTCGGGAACCTGCCCCGTGTGGTATAACGAACGGATCAGTTCAGTTCACATATTTCAACACAGGACGTCACAAGCAAGAGGAGCGCCGTGGAATTGCTAGAGCTGATGGGGGGGGCTGGTGCATTGCAGTTGATCGTAAAAGTGAGAGAGTGTTTAGGATTGTTCGGGAGTGGTTGTGGTTTACGGAGAATGCTCTCCACATATGTTTTTCCTTGGTTTATCACGAGAGTGCCCAGAGGGATGGGGGCATGCGTGGAGGCAGAGAGATGTGTGTGCGGATCCATGGAAGGATCAGGATGATCTTATTATGTTCTGCAGATATTCCTGCCTCTACCATTAGTTTAGTTTTAGAAGAGAAGGAAGTTTATGGCCACACTTTCCTGCCTCCCCTACCCAACGCCCAAGTCCCAAGCCGTTCCGTTCATCCTATCATACCGCTGCGCCATTCATTATTTACTCCGAGGGAAGTTAGTCGGGGGTTAAGCGCAAGAGTAAGAGGTGATGCAGGCTGCCCTGTAGTTTGTGGACCCTACGGTCGTGTTCTGATGGTGGATGGCTTATGGCGAGCATGCCGTTAGATAGGATTCTAGCTGGGTGAAATTATAAACGACTGCTTTTTTCACTGTTTTAATGGCTTTATACGGATTCCCAGAGAGCAAAGTCATGAACAGGAGTCATAGTTGGCCGCTCACTAAATACTGCCAGCAGGGGCCCGAACCGAAAGCCAAGCACCGACCGGCTGTGGCAATGGTATTCTGGATTTGACCTCAATGGCAAAAAAATGGGTAGAGCAGGGCGTTTGGATTTGATACCCAGATTCCAGCATCTTGTTTCCCTCTGGGTTTTCTCTTGTGAAAATAAACGAGGCTCAGTCACTTAGCCACAACCAGCCCGCCTACCCGCATTTATTTGGTGCTGCAGACGGTACTGTACTGGAAATCTGTCCAAGAGTCCGAGGAAGGTGACGCAAGGACCCCGATTTCTCAGCAGCCACGCGCCACTTCCTGATTTCTGACCACAGGATATCTGTCCCTTTCCTTCATTCAAACCTTCCAACCCAGAATTGCCTTTCCCTTCTTCAACCACAGTTTTCACTTATCCTACCGGTGTATCAGACCCCATTATCATTGAGAATGAAGGGTTTCGGCTCTCTATTCACGCTCGCTTCACTTCTGCTGGTCGCGACAGCTAGTAATGTCATCGATTTAACCCCCGATAACTTCGACAAGGAGATTCTGCAAAGTGGAAAGCCGGCGTTGGTTGAATTTTTTGCTGTGAGTTTTTTTCCCCCCCGAATCCGCAAATCCTCGAGATCCGGTGCTAACGTTGTTTATTTAATAGCCGTGGTGCGGACGTGAGTCGATTGGGCCGTATCGTGATGGGATGATGATGGCTAATTTGAGATGGAATAGACTGCAAGAATCTTGCCCCTGTCTACGAGGAGCTTGCGGATTCGCTTGCTAGTCAGAAAGATAAAGTTATAATCGCTAAGGTCGATGCCGATAGTATGTCCTAATACCATATGGGTGCTTGCGCCCCGAGCTTCGATTTTCCTCACTAAAATATCTACAGATCACGGGACACTCGGAAAGCGGTTTGGTGTCACCGGTTTCCCAACGTTGAAGTGGTTTGACGGGAAGTCTGCCGATCCTATTCCATACGAATCCGGCCGGGACTTGGAAGCACTTCAAGCATTTGTTAAGGAGAAAGTCAGTGGGCTGAAGCTTAAGGCCAAGCGTGAAGCGCCAAGCAACGTTATTGTGCTTAATGATGCCAATTTCGATAAGATTGTTCACGACGAGAAGAAGGATGTCTTGGTTGAGTTCTATGCGGTTTGTTAACCCAATTTGTCTTTAATGCGACCACTGTTGATCAGAACTCATAGCCATGGTGCGGTCACTGCAAAAGTCTTGCCCCGATCTACGAGAGGCTTGCCAAGAACTTCGCCTCTGAGACCAACGTTGTGGTTGCCAAACTTGACGCCGACTCTCCAGGTGGGAAAGCCTCTGCTGAGAAGTACGGA